AGTAAGACCAAAGAAGATTTTATGGTTTTGAGTTGTGGTGTTGGCAAAGAATACTGAAAGTACTATTGTTGTTGTTGTTGTGTGCCATTGAGTCAGACCCGACTCATAGCGACCCATCCTTGGGTTTCCGAGGCAGTATCGCTATGGAAGTAGATTGTCCCTTCTTCTTTCCGAGGAGTGACTGGTGGGTTTGAACCGCCAGCCTTGCTAAAAAGACTAACAAATCTGTCCTGGAAGAAGTGCAGCAGGAATGCTCATTGGAAGCGAGAATGGCCAGACTTCCTCTCACCTACCTTGGTCATGTTGTCCGAAGGAACCATTCTCTGGAGAAGGATGTCATGCTTGGTAAAGGCGAGGGTCAATGAAAAAGGGGAAGGCCTTCAATGAGATGGATTGACACAGTGGCTGCAGCGATGGGCTCAGGTGTAGCAGGGATCATGAGGCTGGCACAGGACCGGGCACTGTTTCATTCTGCCATGCAGAGGGTCCCTATGAGTCGGAGACGACTCGACGGCACCTAAGAACAACCACCTTTTAAAAAGAACAAATCCACTGCCATCAAATTGATTTTTGACTCACAGTGACCTTGTGGGGCAGAGTATAACTGACCCATAGGGTTTCCAAGGCAGTCAGTCTTGATGAAAGCAGACCATCTCATCTTTCTCCCACCGACCTTTTGTGTAACAGCCAAGTGCTTTAACCACTGCTCCATCACAGCTCCTGCATCACCTTTTAGATGATACATTTAAGTGAAGGGTTCCACCTCATTTCAGAAAGAAAGTTTGGCTTCCTAGTGGTTATCTTATGGAACATCAGTTTGAAATTCATTATCCACGCACTCAGCAAATGTTGAAGTTCCCGGGTGGCAGAGATGGGCTACTAACTAAAAGTTTTGTGGTTCAAGTTCATCCAGACGTGCTTCAGAAGAAAGGCCTGGCAATCTACTTCTGAAAGATCAACCATTGAAAACCCTACAGAGCACAGTTCTCTGAAACATGGGGGGGTCACCATAAGTTGGATCTGGATTGAGTTTTGTTTGTGATTTTGTTCTTTGTTTTCCTTCAGTAAATGCATCACTGATACACAGTAACATCCCCTGCCTTCAAATCCTTGGGTGGACAGGCACTACGTGAAGGTCCCATGCATGCTCTCTCATCCTGAGAGAACACAGCAAGAGCAGATCTGGGCAATTCCTGATGACCTTCACCCTCTCTGGGGGCCACCTAGGGGCCACCCCAGACCTTGATGTTATTCTCCCAAATTCACGTAGAACTGTGCTTTCCGATTCTGACACCAACCACCTTCCCCGTGGCACTCTGTACTTCTCTGCTGGCTTCAAATTCATTCAAGGCCACACAGAACTGACAGACCATCCTCATGAGGGTCCTGAGTTATAGGACTCATTAGAGAAAACATGGGATCAGGATTAACTTGAAAGGAAAAGGAACAGGCTTCATACGAGGAAACACACAGGCATGGTCTGGAAGACCCCCACCTCCAGCGAAGAGCGCATGCCGCCCTCCTTCAGCAAAGGAGCACTTAATCTCTCTCTCTCTCTCTCATCTGGCCATGCAGGTCTCCTCTCAGCCTATTCAATACAGGTTTCCTGCTAGCCCTCTCAGGATAGGCCTCCTCTTAGCCCCCTCAGGACAGGGCTCCTTTCAGACCCTCTGAACAGGCTCTTCTTGGCCCCCCCCCAGGACAAATTCTTCTTGGCCCCCTCAGGACAGGGCTCCTCTCAGCCCTCTGAGGACAGGCTCCCCTCAGTCCCTGCCCTGCTCAGGAAAGTGCTACAGCTCTTTTAATTCCAATCACAAGAGCCCAAGCCACCCACTCTGCCAGCGAGCTTCCTGCCTGGGGCAGGATCTCTTGCTCCATGGGCCAGCAAGTTCACTCCACGGCCCAGAAGCCCACTGTGGCATCGTGTGCCATTCTCCCAGTTCTACTGCCACTACTGTGGTGTCACAGCCTTCTCGGTGCAGGGACCACAAGTTCAAAGGACTCAGTCTGCTCTAGGCTCTTCATGGTGATAGTGAAGTCCAGCCAACTTCAGTGGGATGGCTGCTTATATTGGCAAGTGCATCAACCATATTGGGCAGATTTTATGTACCTTAGTTGCATAATAACTGACCAATTCCCTCGCTGGACTAAACTGGCCTATCCCCTCACAAGTGACTCCATTGTTTGAATATTAAATGCCAGCAGGTACTGGCTTCTTCCCTGGGCAAAAGTAACAAGCTCCTCCAAAGGACTCGGGCAACTGTAACAAATCCTCAGGTCCCAGGGAGAAAATCTCCAAGGCTGTTTTATTTTCCTTCCTTTTCACAGAACCAAGGCAAGAGGCTACATAAAGAAACTCAATTCACCTCAGGGAGAAAGTTAGAAACATGATGTCCCAATGACTGTTGTCCTAGTTTCCTGGTGCTGCTATAATTGAAATACCACAAGTGGGGTCTTTCAGAACAGAAATTTATTTTCTCACAATTCTGGAGGCTAGAAGTCCAAATCAAGGTCATGCCTGTATCAATTCCTTCCTGTCACTATCTCTGGGAATTCCTTGGTTCTTTGTTGATCCTCTGTTGGCATCTGTCTTTCCATGTGTATGTCTGTGGTAAGCCGTCCTTTATAAAACTCAGAAGTGAATACAGTTAGCATCAACCTCACACTGGTATGACTTCATTAAAATAACAGTAGGTCACATTATGGAAGGTGTTTACATTGCACTAAATTAGATTACATCTACAGTACAGGAGTTAGGATATCCATACCTAATTTAGGGGGACATGATCCATAATACTGGTTTCATCTGTATTCTAGCCCCTGCCTGGTAGCCCAACCTAGTAGGGAGAAAGATACTTAGATACCCTGGACCTGGGCCATGTGAATAGCAGTGTATTTCCTAGTTGGTGATATGAACAGCAGTGTTGTATCAAAGGACTCAGCAAGGTTCATAATTGATGTTTGACTGGACATTGTGTCCTTATTTTAGCAATCTTAACATGATAACCTTAATTAATATTGCTGTATTTGTGACAAATGTTGAAATGGCAAATGTTTCATTATGTATGTATGTGCACTAAAGTTCAAAAAAATGTGAAAAAGAACATTAAAAAAAAGCAATTTAGAAATGTGCAATACTTAAGGAGGAATACAAGATAGTGAGACAAAAAGACCCAACCACATGGCTGCACAGTATGATAGCAGTGGCCTTTCTTTCATCGACCACAACATGGATAGGAAGGGACTCGGCTGTGAGCTTGTCTATGACCCATATCATGCAATGAACAACACCCTCTACACTCCCTTGCTATTCCACTGATTCTGTGAGGCCTCCATCCAGTTGTGGTTAGGTGCAGAGTCAATTTTGACTCACAGTGACCCTAGGGAAAACAGAATGAAACGCTGCCCTGCCCTGCTAAGCTTCGGTCAATTGTTGCAGCCAGTATGTCAATCCATTTCATTAAGGATCTTCCAATGTTTGGCTCACCGTTCACTTGATTAAGCATGATGACCTTCTCCAGGGACTGGTCACTCTTGATAACATGTCCAAACATGTTATCCAAATATGAGGAACAAAGTCTGGCAATTCTCATTTCCAAGGAGCATTCTAGCTGTCCTTCCAAGACAGATGTGTTTATTCTTTTGGCAGTCCATGATATATTCAATATTCTTCACCAACACAATTCAAACACATCATTCTTCTGAGGAATGAAGGAATTTTCATTGTCCGTCTCTCACATACATATGAAGCTATTGAAACCACCACAGATTGGATCAGGCACATCTTAGTCTTCAAAGTGACACCTTTGCTCTTTAATGCTTTAAGGAGGCCTTTAGCAGCAGATTTGCCAAGTGCAATACATCATTTGATTTCTTGGTTGGTGCTTCCCATGGGTGCTGGCTGTAGATCTAAGTAAAATGAAACCCTTCACAACTTCAATCTTTCCTCCAGTTATTGTGATCTTGCGTATCGGTCCCATTGTGAGGATTTTTGTTTTCTCTTCATCGAGGTGTAATCAATACTGGAGGCTGTGGTCTTTGATCTTCAGTAAATGCTTCAAGTCTTCTCTTCTTCATTTCCTCAAGCCAGATTGTGTCATCTGAATATCACAGATTGCTAATAAGTCTTCCTCTGATCCTAAAGGCTTGGGTCTCCATCCTATAGTTGGAATCTAAGCAAAGTGGTTGCCCACTCTCAGGATGAAATTTCTCTCTCTTAGTCTAGGTTATTTGTATACTTGGGACATGACAGAGGGTCGCTGCCAAGCCCCACCACAGCTGGGTTTATGGAGACACAGCGGCTCCACTGGCTGCTACCACACAGGACTTTCATTTTCTTCTGTCTCTATCTGTGCTAAGAATTTTAAGGTCCATTCTAGCAGAGACAAGGTCAGTTGGGCAGCTGCCACTCTGCACCTTGCAGCCCCTTCCCAGGAAGGTGAAGCAACTCCTGGCCCAGCAGACAGAGGACAGGCCAGCCCAGGACAGAGAGAAGACTTTGAACTCGTAATGTCAGAAGAGTGTGTAGCTTCCTCCAGGACTTTTCATATGAAGTGTGTTCATGGAACATTGGCCTGGCAATAGAACCACCTGTGTCCTGAGGCCATAGTCAAGGGAAAGAACCAGAGTGCTGGTGTGTGTCTGTGAAGTGATGCATTCTCTGCTGGCATTGCTCAGAACCTGAGTGCTACCCACATGCAAACACCCCTGCATACATTTCCCTTTTCTTTTCAAGGCTGTCACCCAATGGCACAACTCTCCCACCTACACCACTCCAGCCCCAGACAGATTAATGTCCGGGCCTATACACTGCCACACCTGTGACTATTACCTCATCCCCCAAGTGACCAAGTACCTCACCCAGGGGCAGGATGCTGAGAGTCCTGAGGCAGCCAGTGTCTCCACAGGAGGGGAGTGGCCACAACCCATGGTTCAGACCTGGCTTCACGGAGGAGACTCCCTTTATCCATTCTCTTTGGATGGACAACCCTGAGCTGGGCATGAGGCTGGCAGAGGGCCAAGAAACCCTCAGGGGAGCCCTTTTCCTGCTTAGGCTCTGGGTTCTCCTCATTCCCATCCAATGTTCTCAAGGTCGTCCGTCATGGCGCTACATCTCCTCTGAGGTGGTGATTCCCAGAAAACAGATGTCCCACGGCAAAGATTCGCAGGCCTCAGGATGGCTACTCTACAGTCTACACTTTGGGGGGCAGAGGCATGTCATCCACATGAGGCGCAAGAAACTGTTTGGGCCCACACATCTGCGGGTGGTGTCCCAGGATGACCAAGGAGCCTTGCAGATGGACCACCCTTACATCCCTCAAGACTGCTACTATCTCGGCTTCCTGGAGGAGATTCCACAATCCATGGTCACTATTGGCACCTGCTATGGGGGTCTTGAAGGTATTATGAAGTTAGATGACCTCGCATATGAAATAAAACCCCTGAAGGAGTCTCACACGTTTGAACATGTTGTTTCCGAGATAGTGGCAGACACTAATGCCACAGGGCCTACCTACAGACTAGGATACAAGGACCCTCCACTGTCTGAAGAGAACATCCCTGCAGCCCCGAGGATCTCCAGTAAGATCTATGCATCCCATGCTGCTGCTATCAAAGGGCTTCCTATAAGTTCTCATTCAATATATACTCTATTGCGCAATGTATCAGAGAGTGTCAAATATCTGATAAGTTTGGCTAGTGTGGTTGATTCGATGTATCATGGTCTTGATATAAGGTACAATATTATCGGTTTGGTAGTATATAATGAGAGAGATCCAACTTCTATGTCGGATTATAGAGTGCCAGGAAGTCCATTTCATAATCATTTTTCAAGTAATGTGTATCATGCTTTTAAGACACATTCAGCCTTCGTAGTGATTAAAGACGGACCTCATGAACTTGACCATAGCCCACAATTATATTCTGTATGCTCAAGCAGTTCTCTAATCATGATCGGCCAGCTAGGGAGACATTACTTACTCTTAGCTGTGATTACAGCCTTTCAGGTTGGGAGAACTGTGGGTTTGTACATTGATGAAGAATATTGTTATTGCCAGAGAAGGACCACCTGCATCATGAACAGATACCCCGTGATGACAGATGTGTTCAGTAACTGCTCCATTGTCCACCTGCAACATATAGTGGGCCAGAGAGCACAGTGCCTATTTGAACTTACACAGCAATATTCCAATGTAAGCATAATACGGCAGCGTTGTGGTAACTCTGTGGTGGAAGCGGCGGAGCAATGTGACTGTGGCTCCTTCAAGCAGTGCTATGCCAGTAAGTGCTGCAGGAGTGACTGCAAGCTGATCCCTGGTAGTGTTTGTGATGAGGGAAGGTGCTGTACAAACTGTACCTACTCGCCCATGGGGACACTCTGCAGATCTATTCAAAATATATGTGACCTTCCAGAGTACTGCACTGGAGAAACCGACAGATGCCCCGAGAACGTTTATCTGCAAGATGGGACCCCATGCACTGAAGAGGGATACTGCTTTAACGGCAACTGCACTGACCGCTCCATGCACTGCAAAGAAATCTTTGGTGAACAGGCTGTGAACGCTGATAACCTTTGCTACAGTATAAATGCCCAAGGCTTCCGATTTGGACACTGCAGGAGAGAGTCAACATACAGAGAGTTCCACCGCTGCGATCAAAGGGATGTTATGTGCGGAAGACTACAGTGTACAAATGTCACTCGTCTTCCCCGGCTACAGGAACATGTATCATTCCATCAATCTGTGATCTCAGGGGCCCAGTGTTTTGGACTGGATGAACATCGCTCTACAGAAACAACTGATGTTGGACACGTGAGACCTGGTACTCCCTGTGCCTCTGGCAAGTTCTGTAGCACTGGATCTTATTGCAATGGTACTTTGAAGGCACTGAATTATGACTGTCTCCCTGAGAAGTGCAGTTTTAGAGGGATGTGCAACAGTAAAAGGAACTGTCATTGCCATGTGGGCTGGGAACCTCCACTCTGTCTAAACCCAGGTGCTGGAGGAAGCATCGACAGTGGGCCTCCTCCAAGAAGATTTAGGACAGTGGCTGAAAGTGAGGACTCAATCACATACTTGAGACTGGCCTTTGCTCGTATGTATGTCCTGATAGGTGCACTCCTTTTTGGGTTGGCCACAAATGTAAGAACCATCCAGAAAACCAAGGTTAAGGAAGAGGAGTATGATGCCAAATAAGTTGTGCAATCTCCCAAGCCGTGTCAAAAATATAACCAATAACAGGAAGGAACATCTGTGAAAAAGTCAGTAAAAGGTGGTAAAGCTCAACATGTGTAGAATTCTGCAGGAAATACAGAATCCTACTGCATATCCTGGATGAAGTTGGGAGGCTTGCGTCCTTTTGACATCAGTACTCTTTTATAACAGGTGACTGTCTCTGAAATAAATACTTAAAATTCAATGTGAGTGTGTTCTATACATATCTATAAGCCACTAGAAGCCCAGACAGCCTGGGCTGCTGGCCAGGAGAGGAGACCTGAGTCGGCAGCTGATCTGGACCTGAGAATGCTGGGCCCCGAGTTGGTGGCACTGGTCCACAGGCCCCTGTAGGGCCATATTCATGACGTGTCTCCAGCGTTTCCGTGCAGCAGGGATTTCTTTATCCTGTAGGTAATCTGTCCTTCTGTAAAACTAGGTAGGCTCAGAGAAAATGAGACACACTCATAATCCTTGCTGCCTGGTGTACAAAGGATGGCTGTGGGCTTTCGGTTGGGAAGGCAATGGGTTCAAATCCCCACTCAGCACTCAGGGAACGTGGAGCACAGATTAGAACCCAGAATCAGAAGGGCAAGTGCAACATTCAGTGGAATCCAATGAGAACACTTTATTCCTCCCTCCTTTTTGCCTCTACATTGTGATGAACTGAGGAGGGAAGCAGGCTGAGCAAGTCATGATAAATGGTAGAATCCAGTCTTTTAGAAGGCCAGGCATTTTGGGGTGGAAATCCAGATGTGCAAGTTTCCTGGCCCTAACAAAGCACCATACAGCGGGTGGCTTAACACAACAAATGTATCCCCTCCCAGTCCTGGAGGCCAGAAGTCCTAAATAAAGTGCTGACAGGGTCATGCTCTCTCTGAGCCTCTGGGAGAGTGTTCCTCTTGCTTCTTCCTGGGTTACGGTGGTGGCCAGCAGTGCAAGACTTGTGTCAGCCTCACTGCAGTGTCTGCCTCCTTCACACGGACAGCTTCCCCCACATCTCTCTGTCTGCCTGTGTCTCTTCTCCCTTCCTGTAAGCCACTGTTCATTATTTTATGTCATTTTACTGTGCTTTGTTTTTCATGTATTCATTTTATTCTATGTCATATATACATATGAAATTATACTTTCACTGATTTTACTCTAGGTTGTTATAATCTTTAAATTTCAGTTTAGTTTTTACATGTCATGATATATTGACTGATTTTTTTATTTAATTTTCAAATTTAATTTGCTTAATTTTTACTACACATTTTAATATTTATTTTTATTATGTTAAATTTTCTGATGCTGTTGTTTTTACTGTTAATTTTTTAAATTAAATGTGTTATTTTTATTTTTATTTTGAATTGCATATTTTAATATTTATTTATGTTATATATATTATTTTACATTGCCCATTTAATTTAAATTAAGTAACACATTAATTTATTTTATTTTGTCAAAATGAATTCTTTGGTATGTTTTATATTTTACTTTCTGATATTTTATTTATATTTTGCCTTTGTGTATTTTATTTCATCTTAATGGTATAGTGTGACATATTTTATTCCTTTCACTTTATGTTATGTTATTTAATATATTATTTATTTTATGATATGCCATTTCATTTTCTCTGTTATTATTATCATTTTTATTACTTTTTGTTTTGTTATTCTCTTCCATTTTATTTTTCTTAGTGCTTATTTTCCATACATTTCCTTTAAATTTTGTTTATCTCATTTTAATTTTATGCTATTTTATTTTGAAAATTTATTTCATTTTATATTTTAGTTTGTCAGTCAATTAAGTCAATTCAATTTATGTAGTGATGTCATGGTATTTTATTTTTAAACTGGATTTTATTATCTTATCATTTATGCTTTGCAGTGTACTGCATTATTTATATATTTAATTGTATTATAGGCTTTTTTTGTATCATTAGGAGCTCTGGTAGCATAATGCCTAAGGCACTTGAGTGTTAGCCAGAAGGCTGGTAGTTCAAACCCACCAGCTACTCCTCAAAAGGAAGGTTGGGCAATCTACTTCTGCAGTGATACTGCCTCGGAAACCCAAGGAGTGGTCGCTATGAGTCAAGACCAACTCGATGGCACATAACAACAACAACAACAAAAAATGTCATTCACATCCTTTTATTAATTAAAGCCCTTTTTGTTTTATGTTATTTTAATTATGTTTTTCACTTTGTACCCTTTTATTTATGTTATTTATTTTTCTTTTTTTTTTTTTATTGTGATTTGGGTGAAGATTTACAGAGCAAATTTACTTTCCATACAGCGGTTCACATATACTTTGTCTCATGACA